AAATTAGCCCGGTGTGGGTTTTTTTTTAATGAAAATTATAACTGGAGCACTCAGCAGTGCTTTGATAGGAGTAGATCAGACCACGACCATGGACCAGACAGATGTGGCAGAGCCAGGATTAGGGTGAGGCAAGTGAGGCATTCACCTCAAACACAGGAATTTAAGGGTGGAGAGGGCAAAAAACTTAGCAATCAAGATAAATAACAGTGTACTGCAGTATTTTAAAAAATAAAAATTAATGCAAAAACCCCACAATGAGCAAACATCAAAATTTTTAATACATACAAGATGTTGTTGTTATATCATACCCTTGCATTTTTTTTTTTTTGTACAGCGAAAGAGTGGTTTTCAAACAGCCTGGGGTTCCCAGTCCCTTGAAATCATCATATCCCCTGCAGGGCATGTTGATGAGGGTAGTAAACTGTGTGAGGGCAGACAGATTGGGTAACTCAGACTTTTAAATAGAGAGTCATGTGTCTTGATTGTAGGGTAGGGCTTTTACTAGCATTTTCCAGTTGATTAAAAGACAGGTGAATGTTCTGATAAATGTACATAGGAGCACATATTGTTCTTTTTCCTCAGGTTCTGATCAGGCCTAGCCAGCACTCCAGATTTAGAATGTGAAGTTGATGGTTTTTATCAGGGGAAAGTTGAGATTTTTATAAGGAAATTAGAATCGTGATTAAAGTGAAAGGAAGGAAGTGGAAGAGTATAATAGGATGAGAAAGGAAAGCTTTTTCATCTTATCCTGCTTCAGCCTCCAAACCCCTCTACTTTGCCTCCAGTTTGACTTTTGATGATGACAGTTTAGCTACAAGTGATGTCTTGAGTGGAGAACTGAGTTCTAAGCCTGGCTGGGCCACTAATGAGATTGCTATCCTCAAACTTCCTTTTGTTCTTTCTGTAAAGTGAGTAGCTGGGCTCAATGACTGCTTATCATCTCAATGCAGCCCTGACAGCCCACATTCCTGCATGTACTGCTTTCTGTATTAATCTTGGACTCTAACCTTGATTAGGTGAATGTTTCTATTAATAAGCATTTCATAATACTCTGTTTCCTAAAAAAGGATTGCTAGGTTTTCTGGACGAAAGTTAAACTTTTGATATGACAAATCCTCACTCCCTGTTGCCTCTGAAAACATTGTCCCCTGCTTATGTCCTTCTTCCATCTCTGCTATCTTCATAATATGCTCAGGTTTCTCCTAGTGGGAAACAAAAGTGACTTTCAGTCTTCCCCTATATTACCATTCTAACCTTCACTACCAAATAGTTTTTGCCCAGTCATTTCTCTCTCCACTTGTCTTTCCTATTCATGGCTCTCTCGTCAGCACCTAGGACAGTAACTAAGACATATGTGGACTGGGTAAGTACTTAGGTAATAAAGTGCTTGCCTACATGAAATCAGGTGCCTCCCCAGTCACTGGAAATGAGTGCTCTCTCAGTGTACTGACTCTTGCAGTTTTTGACAGAGGTCGCTGCCCTTCCCTTCATTGCCATCCCTGACACCTCTCTATCACGGGTCTCTATCTTCCTGACAGTGATTGTGACTAGATTGAGCATGACCTTCTCTTCCTCAATCTTACTCTTTTAAGTGGAGGGTACTGTTCAAGGCTTAGTTTTAGTTTTATTCTTTTTTTCTACAGAAATCTCTTATACCACCAACTTCTAGGGTTACCTAATCAGGGGAGACTGTCAGATCTGAATCCTATTTATAACTCTGTGACCTCTTATCCCATGTGTTCAATCGTTCTTTGGAAACTTGGAGGTCATACTTTGTAGGCTTAGTATGACATTGCCCCTGCCTCATAGTGGACTTTCCCTCTGTACTTTATGTCATATGTTCAGCCTCACATGCTCAAAAACCTACTCTCTTGGACTCTTTCCTCTCCTCTACTACCTAGAGCTAATAAAAGATCAAGTTCTCTCCCACATACTTATACTTTTCCTTTATTCAGAAATGCTGTCATGCTTGACAGATTGAAAGGGTGTCCCCATGCATGCCTGTCACCACCAGATTTATCTTCCTGAACCCAGGGTTTAATATGTCACAGTTCTGCCAAAGAAAATAAAAAACAGAGGATCAAGTATTCTCATGATTCCCTCCCTCCTAGCTGCAGAGTAACGAATATACATTAATTCACTAAATTGAGCATTCAAATCCTTTTCTTTAAAAACTTTTTGTAACTGTTTTTTTAGGAAATGTTTTTATATAATAAAGTGCCTAGATAGTTATATAATTTGATACATTTTGACAAATATATATTTTTCAGACACCCCAACAAGATATAAAACATTCTTATCATCCTAGAAAGTTCCCTTGTGCTCTTCCAGTCACTATCCAGCCCAGCAGTAGCAGCTACTGTGTGATTTCTGTCATATTGATTACTTTTGCCTGTTTTTGAACATTATATAAATGTAATAACTCAATATGTACTCTTCTGTGTCTGGATTCTTCCATTCAAAATAATGTTTTTGAGATTCACTCATATTGTTGTATATATTAGCAGTTCAATCTTTTTCATTGCCACATAGTATTTGGTTGTACTAATATCCCAGTTTGTTTATCTGTTTTCTGGTGGTATTTGGATTGTTCCCAATTTGAGACTAGTATAAATAAAAACCATATAAACAGTCTTATACAGTCGTTCTTTTCTTTTTTATTAGTTGGAGGCTAATTACTTTACAATATTGTAGTGGGTTTTGTCATACATTGACATGAATCAGCCATGGATTTACATGTGTTTCCCCATCCCAATCCCCCCTCCCACCTCCCTCTCCACCCGATCCCTCTGGGTCTTCCCAGTGCACCAGGTCCGAGCACTTGTCTCATGCATCCAACCTGGGCTGGTGATCTGTTATACAGTCTTTCTTGTAAACATATGATTTATTTCACTTGGGTAAATTACCAGGAGTGAAATTGCTCCTTCTCTCTCTCTGTCTTAGTCTCCATCTTTTTATGTCTGTCCTCCCTCTCTTTTATACACTCACACAAATGCACGCACGCGTGCGCTTGCGCGCGCACACACACACACACAGATGTGTTCACTCATCTCTAATCTCCTCAAATAAATTATAGTCTATAATGTCCTATTTTTCTTTGGACTCGATGCTTAGCAGAGTTTCTTAAACAGAATAGATGCTCGGGAAATATTTGATTGGACAGTTCAGCTACATGAAGAAGTCACACAGCCATTCCATTTCATGGTGCGCCCTTCACCCCAAGGACTGAAGTGTCCTGGTGAGCACAGTGACTAATGCTGGGGAGGAATCTGTTTCCGTCTCCCGCGATGCATGCCCCCACATTGTAAACTCATTTCACACTGCCTTCTTGACATACTTGTAGATTGTCACTGCTTTTCATTTCCAGAGTGAATGAAAAATTCTGAGGGTGGTGACCAAGACTATGGAGGCTACTGCCTGGGCTTGAATCTAGGCTCCAGAGCTGAAGTTGAATGATTACTTTTTTCCAGCTATTTAAATTTCCCAAGCTTTAGGTTTACTATTTTGTGGCTGGGGATTACAGTACTACTTCATGTGTTTGTTGTGAGTATTACATCATCTTCACAACTACTTTTTTTGGTGCTTTCCATTACCGAGGCACTGTGTTTACAAATGCTAACTCAATCCTCACAACAGCCCTATTGTGAAACTACTATCTCCATTTTATATGGGGAAACTGAGTCACAGAAAGGCTAACTAATATGTTGAATATACCACTTCCATTTTATGGTGGGGCCTAAATTCAAAATCAGGCAGTCTGTTAAAAACAAAACAAACAAAAAAATCAGGCAGTCTTAGTCAAGAATGTATATATGTAACCCCTACAATAAACTGCCTTCCACAAATGAGATATTTAGAATGATGTACCCAGTGCCCAGTACATGTCCAATTTTAGTAAACATTGTCTGCTGTCACCATCATCTTTATCATCATCCCCACCATACATAGTTTTAATTAAAAAAAAATAAGGCATTTATAGATACTAGTGGCTTTGTCTTTCATTAGATGATATACATTTGAATTGGTCCTATGAGGGATTCTTTGTTATGTCAAATTTTGAGTTCAAGTTCTTTATGTATATAAAAATGTAACTAATATTTACTTGGAGTGATGGTAGCGGTGGTGCTTCCTGTCTTTTATAAATATCTGCTTGGATGTAATTAGATACTAGATACCAGTGAACTCCATTGTTTCTTTGGAAAAGCTTTAAGTATCTATTAGCATTGGGCGGCCTCAGTTCTGAGGGTAGTGTCTCTGAAAACACCTTTCAAGGACTTTCTGTGATAAGAGTTAATAGAAATAGGAATATTGATTGGTGCAACAGTGGGAGTGATCAGAAGCATCGGGAGAATGGTTGTCATATCACTGCAACTGTATCTTCACTTAGCTGTTTACACCACTCACCCACTGACACGCTCATCTTCTCAGATTGCCCGTCCCTAACCAGCCTTATTCTCTTGCTACTTCTATTTCAGAACGTAGCCCCTACATCACATGGAGAAGGACTAAATTTCTTGTAGTCAACCAAGGTTCAGATGACCACTGGGACTAAAATTGCAGATACTTTCTCTCATCATCAGTCATGCTCGGTGACATGTGTAATTCCTCATCCTGGCTCTGGAAGTTTTGACTTCCTCTTTCATCTTTGCTCTCTGTTCTACAGCCCCTAGTTTTGGGAACAAAATCATATGGTTAAATCATAGCTTCACGCATTTCTTAGGCAACGACTGCTTTGCTTCTGCCCAGTGCTGAGTTTTTTCCTCCTTGCAGCATCTTTGGTTAACTTCACACCAAGTCATTCCAATTTAGGACTGTGTCTTCCCTAACAGAGTTTCATTTTTATTTTCTGACTTCTATATGATATAATTTACATTCACCTCATTTCATCTACTCTGGGTGGGATAAACAATTAAATCACTGCCTAGAGAAAACATGATTTAAAGATATGGAAAATGACTAAAGATGTTATTAAATTCTTTTCTCCCTATCTTAATTTCCAGTGAGTTCTTCATGCCGGGGCTGGTCGACACACATATCCATGCCCCTCAATACTCCTTTGCCGGGAGTAATGTGGACCTCCCACGTTTGGAATGGTTGACCAAGCACATGTTTCCTACAGAACACAAATTCCAGAGCGTTGACTTTGCTGAAGAAGTATATACCAGAGTTGTTGTAAGTATCCTGCATATGAGTATTGCTGTATTATGTTCAGTCATCTATAGAAACATCCATTTCTTGGGGGCAGATTTAAGTTATTAAAAACAGGCAGTCAAGACTATCATGGACTATAGAGATGTTTTTAGTTCTTTCATAGCTCAGTGAGTGTGTGACCACTTCACCTACACAGCTAGTCACTAGCCAAGAAACACCTGAATCTAAATCCTCAAATCCCCTGGCTTCTCATTACTCTATTTTTTTTTTTTTTTTTTTACTAAATTTGGGTTTGATGCATACGTGTATTCCTTTACTCCTGCCAACCCACAGTGCTGTTCTGGCCACCATATGGAATAGCTGTGTAACCTTTGGAAAGTTCTGTGACTCACTTTCCCCATCTGTAAAGAAAAAAAAAAGATAATGACAGTACCTGCTTCTTAGGATTGTTATGGTAATTAAGCAAGTCTATACTTGTTAAGCTGTTAAAATAGTGCCTGACATATGTATTTGCTTTAAGAAAAATCCAGGGAAATCTAAAATTAATATTAGTTAGAAGGATATCACATTATTTTGGTAGCTTTGAAAGGAAGGAAACTAGGATGGTCCCCTGTTGCAGGGCATGTGGGAATGTGGTGAGTATTCGCCCACTCGAGGGAACTATGGAGCTAGTTTGGTCTGAGGGCAGTGGCTGCAGTGTGTGCCAACTGTGGGGTGGCCAAAAAGCTGGTTTGGGTTTTTCCGTAACATCTTACAGAAAAACATTAACAACCTTTTTGGCCAACCCAGCATATACTAAAGGCCCTGAAAATACCCTTCCTTTCACTCTCTGAAGAAAACCAGCTCCCTTTATCTACTCCAACCCTATGCCCAGTCGATTCAGCAGCCAGAGATAACTTCTGCATTTGAGAATTAAAGCTGCAAATATCTTATCTAACCACTAACTCCTGTCATGTAGAATACTTAGTCTGAACATTCCTGCATTTTTGTTAGACCCATTGATGGGTTTTCTCTTAAAGTAATGTTGTGATGGTGATAATATAATAAGCCTTATACAGTGACCTAGCCTTCCTGCCAGTTTCCCACATCTTGCAGCATCCAAGCCTTGAACAGTAAAAGCAAGTGTTGTCATTTATATATTTGCCATGCTTAGTTATAAATTCAGTGTAATTGTGGATTTTACATATTTAGCATGGATCCACACGACATCAGGAAAACTGAGAAGGACTAAAGCTGTGTAGGAAGTTGCTAGTGCATTGTGTTAATGAATCGTTTTAACCACACCAAATCTGTTTATTCTCAAAATTTATTTTTACCTTGCATTGTTCTAAAAAGGGTTAGAGATATCTTAAAATTGCATTGTGTACAAGAGAAGAAAATGAGTCATGAAATCACAGCAAAGAAAAAAATAAACGAAGAAAAATGTATACTATGGGGGGGGTCCATGCATTTGTTAGAATCTGTCACAAACTTGGCTTTAACTGAACCAGAGAGGGAAATCAAAGTATTTGCTGTCAGTGAGTACAGAATAGGAGAAATAGGTGTTACTCTCAACAAATATTTTCAGTGTACACATCCTCTGTTTCTGATTGTGAGCCAGGCCCATAGACTTGATAGAGTTGGATGAGCTGAGAGTGTAATGGGCATCCCCTTAAGAAAGTTGAGATTTGCTAATTAGAATCTGTCCCTTAGGCTGAAGATCGCCTGTGGCAATGCATACCAGGGTGCTGAGGCAGTACCCGTGAACCAAGACATTCTTTGTTTTGTTTTTTTATTGTCTCCCTCAGAAAACAATCCTGGATCTATAAATAGGCAATCAAGACCCCAGAGTTTTGCACAGTGATAATTTAATCTGAAAATAATTTAAAGTATATGTTAGCAAACATCTCTTGAGATTGTTGAGAAAAAAAAATTCCAGTAAGTCAGTCCTGGAATAGCTCCCTTTAAACATTGCAAACTGGGTGAGAGATTGAAATTTCAAATTGGACTTTGGACTGGAATGAACTAGAAAGACTGGAAAGTTCAGGAATTGGTATATTATATAGATTAATATGAGTCAAAGGACTGGAGAATGAGATTCTTTGTAAATATACTAAGACAAACTGGTTGCAAACATTCTCCTGGATAATAGAATGAATATGTTTACTCTATGGGGTTATTGAAAATTCAGCAGATGAATTCAGTTAATTCCAAAGAGGTATTAAATCATTAAAGTACAAGGTAAAAAGACAAGAGGTCAGGACCACTCTATTCCCCTATTTTAGCTTATGGAAATTATATAATCTGATAAGGGGCCTGTTGATAGTGGCTTTGAAGCTCATGGTCATATTAACTTTTTTCTTTTTTTTTTTTTAAATAAGGGATCTCCCTTGTGGCCCAGTGGCTAATACTCCAAGCCACCAATGCAGGGGGCCCAGGTTTGATTCCTGGTTAGGGAACTAGATCCCACGTACCTCAACTAAGAGTTTGAATGACGTAACTAAAATCCAGCACAGCCAATTAAATACATACATACATAAATAAATATTTTTAAAAATAACTTTATTTTTTAAAGATTTTTTTGGATACCAAAAACATTCTGTATTGGGGTATAGCTGATAAACAATGTTGTGGTAGTTTCAGGTGGACAGTGAAGAAACTCAGTCATACATATACATGTATCAATTCTCCACCAAACACCACTCCCATCCAGCCTGGCATATAACATTGAGCAGACTTCCACATCCTATACAAAAGGTCTTTATTAGTTATCAGTTTTAAATATAGCAGTATGTATATGACCTTTCCAAATTCTTTAACTATCCCCTCCCTTCCTGGCAACTGTAAGTTTGTTTTCAAAGTCGGTTGAGTCTCTATCTTGCAGAAAGATCATTTGTATTGTTTCTTTTTTGATTCCACATAGAAGGGATGTCATATGCTATTTCTCCTTCTCTGTCTGACTTACGTCACTCAGTATGACACTCTCTAGGTCATCCATGTAGCTGCAAATGGCATTATTTCTTTTTTTTGAAATAGCTGAGTAATATTCCATTGTATATATGTACCACATCTTCTTTATCCGTTCCTCTGTTGACAGACGTCTAGGTTGCTTCCATGTCTTGCTGTTGTAGACAGTGCTGCAATGAACATTGCAGTGCATGTATATTTTCAGGCCATGTTTTTCTCTGGAAGTGGGAGTGGGATTGCAGGGTTATATGGTAGCTCTATTTTTACTTTTTTAAGGAACCTCCATACTGTTCTCCATAGTGGCTGAACCAATTTACATTCCCACCAACAGTGCAGAAGGGTTCCCTTCTCTCCACACTGTCTCCAGCATTTGGTCATATTAAGTTCACAATCTATTTTGAGCTCAAAAGGCTTGGTCTCAAGAACTGACAATTCTTATCAAGAATTAAAAGCTGGGGAAAGGTTGGGCAACACAGCCACAATGTTGATGTTATTCCCGTTAGACTTCTTTATAAATGGGAAAAATGCAAAATCAGTTATTAATGGAAGAGCCCTCTCAAAAACTTATGAGAAACCAGGGTGGAACAGGGGCCTGGGACAGCCAAACACAGAACATGTGAAGAAGAACCGTAGCTGCATTTTAAATGGCTTATCCAGTAAAATTTTAAAACTGGATTCGTTCCTTACTTTTAAAATTACATACATATACTACCCAAAGCAATCTACAGATTCAATGCAATCCCTATCAAACTACCAACGGTATTTTTCACAGAACTAGAACGAATAATTTCACAATTTGTATGGAAATACAAAAAACCTCGAATAGCCAAAGTAATCCTGAGAAAGAAGAATGGAACTGGAGGAATCAATCTGCCTGACTTCAGACTATACTACAAAGCCACAGTCATCAAGACAGTATGGTACTGGCACAAAGACAGAAATATAGATCAATGGAACAGAATAGAAAGCCCAGAGATAAATCCACGAACCTATGGTCACCTTATCTTTGACAAAGGAGGCAAGGATATACAATGGAAAAAAGACAACCTCTTTAACAAGTGGTGCTGGGAAAACTGGTCAACCACCTGTAAAAGAATGAAACTAGAACACTTTCTAACACCATACACAAAAATAAACTCAAAATGGATTAAAGATCTAAATGTAAGACCAGAAACTATAAAACTCCTAGAGGAGAACATAGGCAAAACACTCTCCGACATAAATCACAGCAGGATCCTCTATGACCCACATCCCAGAATTTTAGAAATAAAAGCAGAAATAAACAAATGGGACCTAATGAAACTTAAAAGCTTTTGCACAACAAAGGAAACTATAAGCAAGGTGAAAAGACAGCCCTCAGATTGGGAGAAAATAATAGCAAATGAAGCAACAGACAAAGGATTAATCTCAAAAATATACAAGCAACTCCTCCAGCTCAATTCCAGAAAAATAAATGCCCCAATCAAAAAATGGGCCAAAGAACTGAACAGACATTTCTCCAAGGAAGACATACAGATGGCTAACAAACACATGAAAAGATGCTCAACATCACTCATTATCAGAGAAATGCAAATCAAAACCACAATGAGGTACCATTACACACCAGTCAGGATGGCTGCTATCCAAAAGTCTACAAGCAATAAATGCTGGAGAGGGTGTGGAGAAAAGGGAACCCTCTTACACTGTTGGTGGGAATGCAAATTAGTACAGCCACTATGGAAAACAGTGTGGAGATTTCTTAAAAAGCTGGAAATAGAACTGCCATATGACCCAGCAATCCCACTTCTGGGCATACACACCGAGGAAACCAGATCTGAAAGAGACACGTGCACCCCAATGTTCATCACAGCACTGTTTATAATAGCCAGGACATGGAAGCAACCTAGATGCCCATCAGCAGACGAATGGATGAGGAAGCTGTGGTACATATACACCATGGAATATTACTCAGCCATTAAAAAGAATTCATTTGAATCAGTTCTAATGAGATGGATGAAACTGGAGCCCATTATACAGAGCGAAGTAAGCCAGAAAGATAAAGACCATTACAGTATACTAACACATATATATGGAATTTAGAAAGATGGTAATGATAACCCTATATGCAAAACAGAAAAAGAGACTCAGATGTATAGAACAGACTTGTGGACTCTGGGAGAAGGCGAGGGTGGGATGTTTCAAGAGAACAGCATCGAAACACGTATATTATCTAGGGTGAAACAGATCACCAGCCCAGGTTGGGTGCATGAGACAAGTGCTCGGGCCTGGTGCACTGGGAAGACCCAGAGGGATCGGGTGGAGAGGGAGGTGGGAGGGGGGACCGGGATGGGGAATACATGTAAATCCATGGCTAATTCATTTCAATGTATGACAAAAACCACTGCAATGATGTAAAGTAATTAGCCTCCAACTAATAAAAATAAATGAAAAAATAAATAAATAAATAAATAAATTACATAAGAAGGCACCCACAGTTGGCTGAACTCAGTGGGTACCAATATGAGTGGCTTTATGTGTTCCTTCTCCTATTCTTCCTTGCCTCTCTTCCTCCCCCACCTCTCCCCCCTCGCCTCCTCTCCGGGCTCTCCTTGTCCTATCCCTTAAATATAATTTAAGCTGATTCTTGAACTTTCTAGTCTCTCTCATTTGTTCCAGTCCAGTTTGAAACTGCAGTTTCTCATCTAGAAGGCTTTTTATTTGAGAACCTTTATCTCCCCTGACTCAGAGAAAGGACTTGCTCTCAGGGTCTGGTAGTATTACTTACACTGTCATCATAGCTAATTAACTGAAAATTTCCATTTGAGATCTTTTTCAAGCCCGTCTTAGAAAGGTGTTTAAAGTGTTGAGAGTTTAGAAAATGTCAGATACACTTCTCTTTTGAGTTTCATTTTATTCTGGTTAGTAAATGTAACTTGTGTGGTTATTTTTCTTGGTAATTGGATAGATGGATGGTTTAGTCGCTAAGTCATGTCCGACTCTTGCGACCCCATGGACTCTAGCCTGCCAGGCTCCTCTGTCCGTGGGATTCTCCAGGCAAGAATACTGTAGTGGGTTGCCATTTTCTTCTCCATTCTTAGTTCACTGTTATTTTATGACTTAACAAAAGGTCAACTTTTATGATTATTCTGTACACTTTTAAAAAGACTATTTTTTGTCTGTCAAAATGACTTTTGAAAAAATATCTATTAAATTAGGTTGCTATAAGTGTTACAAGTCTTCTATCATTTTCCTCCATAGTCTCCCATTTAATAGGATAAGAAACTTAGTCTTCTCTTCTTCAAGATAGAACCTCCCTCACCATGTCCTGTGTTACATCATGTGGGATTTTAGTTCGTTTTTTTTTCACCATCTAAATTTAAAATGTTTTAAATTTGGATCCCCAGTCTTTCTTTTGGATTCATTTTCTTAGAATATAGATGATGATAATCTTTTCTAATAAAGTGGGTGATAATCCAAACCCTTGAATTACCAAAAGTTTGTTCTGACTCTTGAATGATGCAATTTAGCTCTAGAGAGAATTCTTGATTTGCTCACCACCATCCAATGTAGCAATGTAAATCTGATTTTCTTTCCTTTCTAGTTAATTTGCTGTCCTACAGGATTTTCTTCATCCTTGATGTTCTGAAATTTTACTTATAGATCTGTTCTGTTTTTTTCAGCTCATTTCTTTAATATAGTATCATTTCCATTTGGGGAGATAAACCTTTCTGATGCACATGTGCTCATTCAATTTCTCTGCCTCTTTACCCATCCCCCACCCTCCCCCACCCCCCGCCATTTCTCTTGCTCTTAGTATGTTTTCCCTTCCAATGTGCTCTTTCTTTTGGTAACTCTTCTTAGAAAAACAGTGACATTTCTGTATATACTTTTATGCTACATTCTTAGAGAATGCCAGTAGCCCAACTTTGTAAGTCATTAATTCGCTCTTGCTGCTCAGTAGCCCGTTCCTCTTTCAAGGATACTGGGTCCTGTTATATACATGTAACAATGCTAATTTTAGATCGTTTTATACCTCTGATTGTTTTAGTTTGGTCTGCTTCCTCATGTGTTCATTCAGCAATATTCACTAAGCCCTGGCTTCCCTGGCGGCTCAGATGGTAAAGCGTCTGCCTGCAATGTGGGAGACCTGGGTTCGATCCCTGGGTCAGGAAGATCCCCTGGAGAAGGAAATGGCAACCCACTCCAGCACTCTTGCCTGGAAAATCCCATGGACGGAGGAGCCTGGTAGGCTACAGTCCATGGGGTCGCAAAGAGTCGGACACGACTGAGCGACTTCACTTTATTTCACACTAGGATGCAAGCACTTTCCTGGCAGATGGAGATTGAATTCGATGCCTCTGTCAAGGTGTTAACTTTCCTCTTCAGCATATGATTCTGGCAGAAAGCTAGTGCATCCTTTTCTGTAGCTGACAGGTTCTAAACATCCTTTATTTAGAGTCATTCATATTTTATTTCATGTGCTGTGTCTTAAAATTTGAAAATACTGACATAAAAATCCAGTTTTCCTAATTCTCTTGACCTTCAAGATGAACTGACATCACTGATCTCTAACAATTGGCTGAAGCTGAGCAGAGGCTGGTAGGATAGGGTGTGTTCTTTCCTATTATCACACTGGTTGCCGGATAAGCTTCATTATAGGATGAACAGCGAAGGCAGTGAATAGCCATTTTAATTGTGGATCCTAAATGTCACTGTGAGGACATCTTTCTTCTAGAGCCATTTATCTTCTCTAGAAAGAAGTCCTTCGATCCTGCCAGAACTGGTGGAAGTAGTACATGTGACATTTTGGGGAAGATGACCATGGGTCCCAGAGTCAGCCACTTATCTACTTAAGCCTCTTCCTTTCAGCCTGTGCCTCACCTTGTCCTTTTGGGCTTGTATTCTCTAAATACTATCAAATTTCTGCAAAGAGTAAATCTCTTTTGCAAGGAACGGCTGATTTCAACAGGAAAGAGTCCTGCCAAGGTTTAATCATCTGTATACACACTTTCAGCCAATTCCCTGTTAACAACCGCATGTTTCTCTCTTTTTCCAAGTTGCCTCCAGGTTTTTGTTCATGTTTTTTTCTTCTGTGAAGACGTTAAAATATTTCCTCTGCTCATGTCTCCTCTCTCCTCGTGGGTTACTAAATGTTAACACTCCATTACATTATTTTAGTGGAGATTTCCTGAGGAAGAGAGATAGAAACATGTGATCAATCTGCCAGTTTGAACTAAATAGCTGGCTGAATAATTTTATCCTGTAATTTCTAGGATAAATCGTATTTATTCCTTCCCAATAAAGTTTGCATATCCATAAACAATCCTAAAAAGTCAGGAATTAGTATCACATTTTATAAATTCTGCAACACAGAACCTTGTGAATCTAGGAAATCAAAAGTTCTAACATTTTTGAAATATAAATACTTTTGCCATTTACCTTAATTACATTTCATGTCGAGATGGCATTCCTTTAAGTAAAAACATCTTAAAATTGAAAACCAAAATTCCATCTTCATGTGTATATACCATGTGACTTTTCTGGGCACAGGCAATTCATGGTTTTTGTGATTTATTTTTAGAGGAGAACACTAAAGAATGGAACAACCACAGCTTGTTACTTTGGAACAATTCACACTGACTCATCACTGCTGCTTGCGGAAATTACAGGTAAGGAGATAAAAGGATGATTTATGGGCACATGAAGTAGATGGGTGGGATCATGCTGACAAGGACTTATACTTGTGAGCAGTCCTGCGTTTTAGTTGCTAGAATTTGAGCACTGCACGTCTTGCAAGTGATTAGGTATTTGCGTATTACTGTGGCCCTTGAACTCTTTCTATTGTTTAAGTAATTTGATTATTTACTTTTTGTTTTTGGTCGTAGGATGACGTAAATAGGTCTGTATTAATTTAGGGCTTTTTGGAGCAGATTTACTAATTCTAGAAATGACCACAGTTTATTATAATCAACAGATAGTTCTTGGCTGTTGGCTAGACTCAGGGCACTGTGCTAGATGCTGGGAACACAGTAAAATGGAAAATAGTCTCTGCCCTTGAGGAATCAGAAAGGATTAACTGATTAACAGGTACACACATTGATTAAAGGTCTTCCTTCGTGGCTTAGTGGTAAAGAATTGGCCCGCCAATGCAGGAGACATGGATTCGATCCCTGGGTCGGGAAGATCCCCTGGAGAAGAAAAGGGCAACCCACTCCAGTCATCCTGCCTGGGAAACCCATAGAAAGAAGTCTGGTGGGCTACACGCCATGGGGTCCCAAAAGAGTCAGACACAACTTAGTAACGAAACCACAACATAGATGAATAACTTCAGTAACAGCTGTAGTGTTCTTACTAGATGTCTGGTGTTGTGCAAAGCACTCCACATGGATTGGTTCAGTTTAGCTGTAAAGAGCCTTCTGGGACAGTTGTTCATGTCCCTGTGTTACAGATGGATAAACTGACCCCCAGAGAAGTTATGCAACATCCTCAAGTCACACAGCTAGTCAGCAGAGCTGAGACTGGATTTAGACTGATGATTCCAAAACTTGTACCCAGCACATTGCCCACCACATAGCAGGTGCTCAGTAAATACTGCTGACTGATGTGCTGACACTTGTTTGCAGGCCAAGGCAGTGTATGCCAAAGACTTCAAGTGTGACGCTGAAAGTAAATATTGTGAATTTTGGAGGAGCCAGAATGAAGCCAGAATTGGATCATCTGGAAAGATTTCATTGAAGGGACCTTTAAACTGGACTTTCAAGGGAGATAAGGAGAGAGGAAAACGCCTTTAAGACAGGAGAAGTGACATGGGGGTATGGGTATGGGGTCAGGAATGTCCATAGAGGATACAGGAAGCAGGGGACAGAGGAGTTGAACTAAAGGGAAGGATTCATTGCATGGTGGGATGAAAGAAGTTGGGGAGAGGGGATGCTTCAGACTGTGGAGTGATTCAGATATGCATCAAAGACTCAAAAAAGGTTTTGAGTCAGATAAAGTATATAATGAAGGTGGTGATTTAAGGAAGAGTAATCTAATGGCCAGGTATCACAATGAATTACAGGGGAAAGAGAGATGTAGAAAGACTTCTGAAAGACTCTTATGACAGAGGTAGAGATATTAAAATTATGATCACTGCTTCATGTAGCATTAACTTTCTAACTGAAATAGAATTCCTCTAGCTCCTCTGATAACCATTTGGTTCTTCAGTGCTGAGAACTTCTAGTAGGATTAAGCAAAATTCCTCACAGGTAACAATACTGGCAATGGAAACAGTGAGAGACTTTATTTTCTTGGGCTCCAAAATCACTAAAGATGGTGACTGCAGCCATGAAATTAAAAGGCACTTGCTCCTTGGAAGAAAAGCTATGACAAACCTAGACAGCATATTAAAAAGCAGAGACATTACTTTGCCAACAAAGGTCCGTCTAGTCAAAGCTATAGTTTTCCTAGTAGTCATGTATGGATGTGAGAGTTGGACTATAAAGAAAGCTGAGCACCAAAGAATTGATACTTTTGAACTGTGGTGTTGGAGAAGACTCTTGAGAGTCCCTTGGACTGCGAGGAGATCCATCCAGTCCATCCTAAAGGAGATTAGTCCTGAATATTCATTGAAAGGACTGAGGCTGAAGCGGAAGCTCCAATACTTTGGCCACCTGATGCGAAGAACCGATTCATTAGAAAAGACCCTGATACTGGGAAAGATTGAGGGCAGGAGGAGAAGGGGATAACAAAGGATGAGATAGTTGGATGGCATCACTGACTCGATGGACATGAGTTTGAGCAAGCTCTGGGCATGGTGATGGACAGGGAAGCCTGGTGTGCTGCAGTCCATGGGGTCACAAAGAGTCGGACATAGCAACTGAACTGAAGAATACTGGCACTGCTACAGTTAAGAATAGTGACAGTACCTTTTCTAAGCCCCATGTGTCAGACACTTTATATACATTATTGGGTATATTCCTCATAACCTCGCACATCTAGAGGACATTGCACACATCTGAGTTTACCTTAAGCAAATAATATCCTTTGTCCTGGGTGTAAACAGAGGAGTCAGGTACCAGTGGGAGAATCTTTACTACTTACAGAATTAACTGGCTTTTTAAAACAATTGTTCTTAAATAATATGATGATCTTTTATACTCTCACTTATGTTTTCATAATGATTTTAATTTAAAATGTTTTTAAAGGGCTCAGGAAAGTACAGTTTAGGAAAGAAACATGACTTGAAATGGTTTCTGTGTTTCTCACAGATAAATTTGGGCAGCGGGCATTTGTGGGCAAAATTTGCATGGATTTGAATGACATTGTTCCAGAATACAAAGAAACCACTGAGGAATCAATCAAGGAAACAGAGAGGTATGTTTGTCTTGATTTATCTTGTGGATGGAATTACAGATGGAGAGAAGAAACCCCTTTAACCCAGGCAGAATGTGCATATATGTCACTGACTGGGTTTGTCTAACTTGTATGAAATTGACCTGATCCTGAGGAAAATGTTGCATATCAATACTAGTTTTATATATCAAGTTATATTTGAAAGCCCCTGGGTACTTACTATACTTTAGGAAGGGCAAATCCCTTTTTAAAATGAAGGATGTTTTAAAAAGTGAATGATTTACCTACTTCATTATAGATCTGGGCTTCTCCTGTAGGTTAAACTTCTGTTGAGTGTCTGTGGCCCGCTCATTAAATTACTTTTGGGTATAGGTTATGCTATTGCTTGAGATCATGTGCTTTTTTTATATTCTTTTTATTTTACATGGGGATATGCTACTGGTGGCTCAGAGGTTAAAGCATTTGCCCGCAATGTGGGAGACCTGAGTTCGATCCCTGGGTCGGGAAGATCCCCTGGAGAAGGAACTGGCAACCCACTCCAGTATTCTTGCCTGGAGAATCCCATGGACTGAGGAGCCTGGTGGGCTACAGTCCACGGGGTCGCAAAGAGTCGGACACGACTAAGCGACTTCACTTCACTTCACTTCATGCTACTGATGTCATAGGTACTTTTTCTACATATATATATAACTTTTATTTATTTACTGGCTGTGATAGGTCTTCACTGCTGCTCTTGGGCCCTCAGTAGTTGTGACGAGTGAGAGCTACTCTTCTTTGTAGTGTGCGGGCTTTTGATTCTGGTGGCCTCTCTAGTTTTAGAGCATGGTTCTGGGGCATGCAGGCTTCAGTAGCTGTGGCTCCCATGCTCTAGAGCACAGGCTCAATAGCTGTGGTGCCCAGGCTTAGTTGCTTTGCAGAATGTGGGATCCTGCTCCCCAGATCAGGGATTGAACCTGTGCCTCCTGCATTGACAGGCAGACTCTCCACCACTGAGCCCCCAGGGAAGCCCTTTTCCTACATTTCTTTAATGGCTTTCTCACAGTACCTTGAGGATTTCACAAGGATCTGTGTTGTATGACACTCAACATCCAAGAAATATAGAAGAAAATTCTTTAGCTTTATATCTTCCCCAAGACCAAATGTATCCTGATGCAAAGTTCGAGAAGTCCAACTTTTCTCCATTCCCCAGGCCTCCACCTTAAGCGTGTCCTCTGAAAATAGTGGTTTAGAGGTTCCTATGTGCCCACGGAGAGAAGGAAGCACACATTTTCCCCTTAGCATTTGGCCATATGCTCAACTTTTCTAGGAATCTGTGTTTGTGGGAATGTGCTGTGTGCTAATTTGCTTCAGTCGTGTCTGACTCTCTGTGACCCTATGGACTATAGCCCTCTAGGCTCCTCTGTCCATGGGATTCTCCAGGCAAGAATACTGGAGTGGGTTGCCATTCCCTTCTCCAGGGGATCCTCCCCACCTAGGGATCGAGCCCAGGTCACCTATATCTCCTGTGCTGGCAGGCAGGTTCTTTACCACTAGCGACACCCGGGAGGCCTTGTTTGTGGGAATAGTGAACCCTAATTCACATTTTATTCCTAAACAAAGTAACACCAGAAGGTAGGAAGCTATAATTCATAAATATTTCCAGCCAAGGCAGAAATAGTCATTTCATAGGCCATATAGATACCATCATCCCCACTGATATAATTGGTAAGATCACCACCCCTGTCACCACCTGTTTCACAACATGTCTGGCCTAGTCCTTCTGCTTTACTCCAACGTCCATGCCCACGAGGACCTGGCCTCTGAAAATAAATGATGCTATTGTGATTGTGTGGGCAAGCAGCTTCTACTTTAGGGAAACTGAAAGTGCAGAGCCCATGGCTTCTAAACACCTCCAGGTACATAGGACCCCACAACTCTAATGTCCATGGAACATAAACATACGGTGATATTCCCTAAAACAGAGCTTAATCTATCTGAACGCTTTGAGTGCTGTGGGAATACTTGTGAGCAGCCCAACTGATGGTAGATGACAAAATTGTATTTCCCTGTGATTTTGCACTCCATCTCTTGGACTACAAATGAGAGAACAAAGTAATTACTACTTGTTAATCCTTAATTAGTGGTGGTGAAACATATCCAGCATTAGAAATGTTTATATTAAAATTAGGGCAAACGTAAGGATCATGTTTTTTTCCTTTTAAAAAATTTATTTGAAAAATGCCTAAATTTTCTAACGTTACATTTGTTGTTTTATTTCAGATTTGTGTCAGAAATGCTACAGAGGAATGTAAGTAAACTTGTTCCTATCTCGCTTTTGGATTGCCTTTGTGTTGACTGTAGGATTTGTTGGTTTTGGTAGAGGTTAGTCTGTATGGTGGAGAAGGAAATGGCAACCCACTCCAGTGTTCTTGCCTGGAGAATCCCAGGGACGGTGGAGCCTAGTGGGCTGCCATCTATGGGGTCGCACAGAGTCGGACACGACTGAAGCGACTTAGCAGCAGCAGCGGCAACAGTCTGTATGGTTAGCTTATTTCATGCATGCAAAAGTATTTTTCTAAAACCTCAAATTGTTTTCATGGGGAACCCATCAACTCAGCTTAGTAAGGTCAGGCATTTTTTTTTTTTTTTCCAGTGGTCTTCCCTCCCTCTCCTCTGAGACCTTCTAATTTCATAGGCTGGGTCTGTGGGAAGTGGAAGAGGGCTTCATTGATGTAGACAGATTGGTGGCCACTAGATGTTGTGGTGTGGTTTGTTAGCTATATCACCGTTGGCTCTGGCCTCTTGTACCCCTGATCGGGTCTGAAACACAGGTGGTGTCCAGCCCAGATGCCCCTGCCAGACTGCCTTGGTCCATAGATGTGTGGCATGTCCTGTGGCCCGAAGGCCTCAGCCAGGCACCCCCGGCACAGCGCCCGGGTGTTGTGAGCCTATGGGGGCAGTGCCGTCTTCTGTCCCACCCCCAGCAGGCTGGTCTCTGGGTCTACTGGGCAGTCTCTTAGATGGCAAACCAGACTCTTCCCTCACCATTTTTTAAGGTCTGATTGGAAACCATAGGACATCTCAGTATTTCTTTCAGTCTAATCTTGAGAGACCTAGATGTAACTTCGTGGATCCTTAGCCTCACCACTGCCCTAAGATGTAGAAAGGGGAACAGACCACCACCCCATTTTCAGTTTCCCCAGCACTCTCCTTTGAAACGTCTCCTCTGCCTCCTAATTCTCTTCATAAAAGCCACTCAGTCTGAGCTTTCATGTGTCTTGCATTTGAGATGGGATCTTCTTCCGTTGAACTTGGTGGGTACAGAAGTACCCTTCCTTGTCCTCAACCATGAGCCATTTCCATGAAACCCATCCACTACTCCTGGAATGAAGGACTATCCCCAGGGATGAAGATATAAAATCATGTTGTGGTGTGAAATGCATTTTGGGGTATGCTACACATTCATATATCTATAGTTTCTTTACCAAGTGTTTTTGATGATTTCCAGTATCCTCGAGTGCAGCCCATAGTGACACCATGTTTTCCCCTTTCCTGCTCTGAGACTTTGTTGGGTGAACTGGGAAACCTCGCGAAGGCCCGTGATTTGCACATTCAGGTGGGCATTTTGCATTTTTCTCCTGTTCGTGCCTCTGTCTAGACCTAGAAGACTTCTCTGTACTCTAAATTCTGGCAGTAATTTCATAATCTCCGTCTTCTACTGTGGAAGAGTTAGGTTTCCCCTCTTTCCTCTTTTAGTTCTTTTCACTGGCAATTAACATGACATATAGGGCACATTAACAGGAGAAAACAAAATTTATTATGTGCACACAGGAAATCCACATAAGTATGAGGGTTCCAAAGACAGTAAGGCAAGGTGACATATACACACATTCTAGACTAAGAAGAAAGTAGGGATCTCAGGCTTCAAGCAGAAATAAGGTAAGGCACTGAAATAAAAAGTTACTATTTCGTAAGCAAATATGTGCTGAACCATTTTGAGCAAGTGGGTTTTGCTAGGTTCCCCTTGTCTACATACCTAGTACCTTACTATAGTTATCTCTGATAATAGCTCTTTCCTGGGACAGGCTTCCAATCTTAAGTAGGTGGTAAGGAGGAAGTTCAAAGCTTCTTCTGAATCTTTTGGGCCCTGATTAGTTTTTAGCTCAAAATAATCTACATCCAGAGTGGCACACTTTGGGGGCAGCCTGCCCTTAGCCTCATAAGAGCTCCTCAAGATATAGCATCATAGGATATAAGGTTCCTTAGAGACATCACCTAAATCTAGCTTGCTATTTAGCTAAGAAACCTGAAGGTTCCTTTTGCCCTCAGTCATCTCTAATCTGGCTCCCAGAGATGAGGACATTTTAAGTAACCAGGCAGGATTAGTGAGAAACTGGTTACCTGCTCTCCATAGGATACATCTAATGTGTTTCTTTCCTGCTTCTCTTTTGATACTTTCTCAGTGTTCTAGTCCTTCCTTTTTGGAGGAACCACCTATTATTTGAAAAGCAGAAAGAACCTAATTTCCACCTTACAAAAATGAATTTAAAAGCCCTTTTGTTCCAAGCTTCTTAATTTAAAGTCAGGAACAAAAAAAGTATATCTTACTTTGTCATTAAATGGTTGCAATTTAGGAATAAAACACTTTCTGAAGCTTCCAGCTGGGTTAAAATTGGGAGTTGGGAGCTTCCCTCCTCCATTCAAGCTTCATTACATACTGCACTAAAATTTTCCCTCTTAAGAGTTGACTATCCAAAAACAAAGGGCATGTCAGGGAAAGGCAACACATTGATCTTTTATTGTTTCATAGGATGGAGGATTGTTAAGATTTATCTTGTTAGGGTTCATTAACTGTTTTTGTCTTTCCCCATTTTTTTTTTTTTTGGTGGCCTGTGATATTTGAAATTTTTTATTCAATCCCATACAATTGTAGGGAAGGAAAAAATTACCTGTTACATTTTTAGGGCCCCTGGCTGGGCCTGAAAACTAAACTGACATAGATGGATTAACAGGAGAAAAGCATACAGGTTTATATAAGTTTTATATGATACAAGAGCCACATTAGGAAACAGAGACACAATGAAACATACCTGAGTATTTTTATGTTAGGTATGGTGACAAGTGTATAGTCCTGGAGGAGCAGGATGGGTTAAGCAGTATGAAGCAAGCATAGTAAACTGGGGAAAACTTACCAAGGCCTGGTTCTTGGCTTCCTTTGTCTTCAGAGATAAGGATATTCCTTTCCTCTAGGTATAGGGTGGGAACCTCTCATACAAGAGTTTTATGACCTGTTTCAGGAAAAAAAGGGGCGAAGGCAAGATCAGAGTGAACCATCCTGTTTTACCATTTTCTCAGATTTCTTTGGATTAAAATATTCAGTATTCCAAGGTGCCATATTTTGGGTTAGTGTGTCCTGAACCCTATCAACACACAGAAAAATTAAGTATTTACTTGCTGGAGGTGTATCTACATGTATATGTGCATACTTACTCAAATTTATCAAAATGACACAAACCATCTGGTTTTCCTTTCCTCTCTTCCAATGTCCATGCCCATTTCTCAGTGGTCTGGATTTCCTCAAGGCAGGGAGACAGCTCATTCTTCAGATGGAACATTGTTTTCAGTCCATTGTTGTTTTTTATTTATTTGGTTATTTATACTCTACCTCAGGGAGGAAGGGAAATGGCATTGCCATTTCTGGAAGTAGTAACTTGCTCATGAGTTATTTCTTATAACATATACTATACTCATCACTGGTTGGTCAGGAGTGATTTCTGTTTTAGGTGAGGGGTTGGTATGGTGACACATTGCAGGTTTTGTGGTTCCCTGGAGAAAGGACAGTGTTGGGGCCAGGACTTGCTTGTATATGCATTCTTATATGCTCTTTCTTGATGATGTCAGGACTATTTGTCTCTTATTTTCAAGCTATTTCCTGAAGAGGAACTCATTCTGGGAGCTGACAAAAGGGACAGAATGGGAACAGGGTCCCAGAGACCAAACCCTGCTTCATTCTGTATGGCAACTCATTCATACCTTTTAAATATTGAATATCTGTGAATTTTTATAAGAACAACACATTGAAAGGTAAAAGAATTTAGAAAATCACTCATCTTGCCCAACACTTTTATTTGCAAGATGAGAAAATGGAGGTGCCAAGGAAACAACTGACTTACCCTAAAACACATATGTAGGGTCAGAACCTGGGCTAAAATTCAACTTTTTAATTCATATTTCAGCTTTTTTATGAGTAAACCATGCTCTACCATTTTGATGGCCAATGAACTCTTAAGTGGCCAACACCAGAAGAGGCAGGTGACTTATGCATAGCTAGGCTCCTGACTCTCTTCAGTTAGTATTTTTTATTTTTACTTATTCTTGCTATAGTTTGAAATTTGAAAAGACTGTTAGGGTTAGAATAGTACGTGTTCATATAATTATATATTCATAGTTTCATTGTCATATATATAATAAGAATTGTTTTAAATAAAATACACCAACCATTCATTATTTTATTTAGGAAAGTAGACACCATCCACATCATTTGGGGGTAGGAAGTATAATTTCTAATGGCATTTTACATTAAAAAACTGAAAATGTTATTTCTTTTCTTGTAGAGCCATATAAGTGAAAATCGTGATGAAGTTAAAGCTGTGGAAAACTTATACCCTGGTTATAAAAACTACACAGATGTGTATGATAAAAACAATCTTCTGACAAATAAGGTAAATTGCACATCATGATACAATCTATATGAAGTAAGGCATATTTATCTAAATTTAAAAATCTCAGTAGTAATCTTCAGACTTCTGTAACACATGCATTTCCCAAATAAAAGTACACAGTGTGCATATGCCTGTGTGCATACAATTAAAAATGGGCCTGAAGTTTCATCCCTGATGAATAAATCATTAACTTTATTGGTAAATAAATCTAAAAAATTCTTTGAGGGTGGGAATGTCATTTGGTCCAAGGACATTTTTGTCAGTATCCATTAGAATGTAAATGTGTATCTCTTTGAGTTAGCAAATGTATTTCTGAAGATCCATTCTGTAAGGAATATGAATAGGGATGTTAATTACATATGAAAGTTCAAAAATGGCTATCAGTGAGGAATTGTTTAGATTATAGAACATAGATAATTAGAATTTTGTCCAACATTCACAAAGAATGAGGTATACAAACCTACAAGGAAGGGTGTTTGTAGAAATATTGTTTGATGTGTGTTTGTATATGTGTGGGTACATGCTCGCTTAGCAAACTGCCTGGAAGACACACACTGAATGTTAAAAGTGATCCTTCCTGAGGAAGCAGAGGATTTCTACATTTTTAAACACTCTAAGACTGCTTTTTTAAAGAAATGAGTATGTATTATATTTATAATTAAACAATTTTAATTAGAATTAATATGAGTGAGGAGAGATCTCATTACAGCAATATATCCCCTGGCCTTGGCCTTTAATGAAATGTATGAACTGCATGGAAAGTTTAATTATTATGGCAAATGAATTCTTAGGGACTGTGTGAACAGACATCTGAATATGATTGGTTTCAAAGGTTAATATTCTGCATAGAGCTTGTTTATGCTACATCGTAATTTTCACCCTACTCTACATCTATTTCCATATGATTAATAAATTGGCCTTCAATTTGCATGTTAATTGTATTTGCACAGAGGTTGGAAAGATTTTATTTTAATGATAATTCTGTGATCATTGAACCATGTTCCCCAAAGAAGAAAGCTATTTAAATACAGGTTTTATACTGACAGAAAAAGAATTTTGCAAGAGTAAAGTCAGGAAAACCCACAAATATTATCAGGATTAAAAATTGAGAAGTCTGACATGTGTGCAGTGCCTGCCCTCTTGAATCAATTTTACCAGCTAAATACCTGCTTGTGAGTGAGGACTAACTAAAGCACTTTGAAGTGGTAGTCTCCACCTGGAATGCTCTTCCCTCCAGACAGTGATGGCACATGGCTGCTACCTTTCTGAAGAAGAACTGGATGTATTCAGGGAACGAGGAGCGTCCATCTCGCACTGTCCCAATTCTAACTTATCGTAAGTAGGCAATTATGGATTGGTAGATCATGAATGTTTGGACCGCAAAGCAGCAGCCAGATAGCTTTTGTTTTCTGTCATTCCTCCAGTATCTCTCTTCTGTAGTCATGTTCGATTGGGATGTGAACTAGATAGAAGGATGCCTGTCTGTACTACACTGGGGAGACTGAGAGCGCTTAAAAAAGAGGTGATTTTTTTGCAGGGTATACATTTGAGGAGCCCCACATCTCTTACAATTTCTGAGTTTGCACAAAACAGAACAATAGGAAACAGAGTTCAAAACCAATAGCACTGAGAATTTAGAGCTAAGGACTGAAAGAGTGCATATGCCAACCATGTGTTCTAGGGAGAGGGTGCTGACTTCTCATTACTTTGTGATGTACAAACTACCAGAAATGGTGCAGTGCTACCAGAAGCCATCACCCTTCAGTAGATGTCATGCTGTTGTCACCTGACGCGATGCACTTAGGAGGGACCCTGTCCTGCTAATTCCCCAGGATGGAGAACACTTTATTTACAACTTTTTTTTAACCTTTTGAAAAGTTATAGGTGAACAAGGGAATCAGATAACAGTTGCCTGTATCTTCACGAAAAAAAAAGCCCCACAGACATGAAAATGCTGCATCTAAATTTGGGGAACTCATGGATACCATAATGCCAACCCATGAATGCTAGGCTGAGTTCCTGTTCCAGGATTTCATACAGAAAGGATCTCTCATTTCTGGTGTTAGTTGACCTAGAACAGAGCGAGAGGCAGGTTGCAGTGGATCATTCATATATTCATTCAATAAATTTCTTAGTTTCTGTTAGATTTTCATTTTTTTTGAGGATCACTTTATATCCTTCCTCATTTTGAGTTCTTGCAGAAGCAGAACATGGCATAAGGATTTATGTGCAAGTAATTTATTTGGGAGGTGATCTCAGAAAGCACCTTTAGTAGGGAGAGACAGAGAAGGGAAGGAAGTCAGTAAAGAGAACATGACTAAGCAGGTCATCACCATGGGCTTCTGGAATTTAATCCTCTTGGAATACGCAGGGAGCCAGTGTAGACCTCAAGGACACCGTGCCCAAGAGGTGGGGGAGCTGAAGTGGTTATACCCAAACTTACCAGCGGAGGGCTGCTGGGTCTGGGCAAAGGGGCATGGAGTCTCTGCAATTTCAGACCTTCGCCAAAAGAGGGCAGAGCAGGCTGCAGCTTTGTGAGAGAGCCTCCAGGCAGAGAGGAGATGGTTCTGGCTGTCGGAAGTCTGGGGACTCTGAATGAAAAAGTTCTAGTCAGTGGCAGTATAGGAAATGCACGTCAGCCATGGCAATATATTTCTGAGTGTTTTGAGAGGTTCCAGAGGCTTTTAGTTTTCAGACATAAAATGATCATACCTAACAGAGAATCTTGCCTATGTACATCTTAGTGACCATAATTATGGTCTGGTGACCAGTTAGAGGAAGGGTTTAACATTCTGTGAGTTTAGTTACACAACACCTAAATGAACACATGACTCAGCTTTGCAAACTGAGGTTTGAAGTTAAATTTTTCTTTATGGCCAGGTTTATGGTTTGAATGGTCACTGCCATTCTTTCTCCAGCACTCTGAAAGATTTCTTGCATGTGCACTGGGCTTTGAAAATGATAGTAACGTGCATTTTCAAGCAAACCATTTCGACCTTTGCATCTTCACAGACTTCTGAGGTTCGCTTTAATTTTTGTCTCTTTAGTAGGCGGCACATCTATTGAGCTCAGGGTCACGATGTTTGAAATCTCTCCTAGTTACTGCTGTCCTCAGAAGCAGCATTTGATCCATCAGGCCCTGACTTACAGCCTGCATCCCCTCTTCCAGTTTTACCCCTCTTTCTTTGCCCTTGCAAATCACTAGTCTTTGAAGGCAACAAATGATTCCAGGAAGAGAGGAAAGGCAATGCTCTATAATTTCTACTTCCTAGCATAGAAGGATGGGCTGCTTGAAAAAAAAATTTTTTTTAACAAGTTGCTAACACCATATTGTATAATTGAAATTTGTTAAGAGAGTAGAACTTATAGGTTCTCAACAACAAAAGGTAAATATACGTGAGGTGATAGATGTTTCAATAGGGAGAAATCCTCTCCCAGTGTATACATATATCAAATTATCATGTTGTATACTTTAAATATCCTATAATTTTGTCATTTATATCAACACATTATTGACCATGGGATTTTTGCAGAAACTAATGCTTGTGGCTGGTGATTTGTTATATAAGTGAATATTGAAATATCTAATCAATAACATTCAGGTAACAAAAGATGTATTAATACGTCTCTGGTCAATAAGTTGTTTATAAAGCTGAAAAATATATTTAAACTCGGTAAAACCATTGAACTAATTGCAAGGTTTAAGTTCTTATTTATTTTTCCTTACACATAATCCCCCGCCCTCCTTTCTAATTCTTGCTGTTTTGATTTTGATCCTTTTTGACTCCAGGCCTCAGATGGTCAGATGTGACTAATGTGTTTGTGTCAGCATTAGAGCTGAGACAATGGGAATCACAATCTTCAGTGACATCACCATTGTTACCATTAGTGTCCTTCTCTTGTTGGACCCATGTGGGGGGTCCCCTTGTTCTGACCGTCTCCTCTCTCTGCAGGCTCAGCAGTGGCCTGCTCAATGTGCCAGAGGTCCTGAAACATGGAGTGAAGACGGGGCTGGGTACAGGTTAGTAGCTTCCCATTAAGAGCCATGGCAAAGTGGTTGATGAAGTACATAACTTTCTACTGTGACTAATTTTCAAGTAACAGTTCTATGTTTTAAAAAACTTAGTTTTATTTTCTGGCAGTCACATCTTGTGCTGATAAAATAGTGAGGTTGGAAGCAGTAAGAAAATATATGCAAAGGGAAACGTTTTGGTTACATTAACCTCTTGAAAGCCATTATCCATGTTTACATTCAGACACAGGGCTATAAAGGATAAGCCCTTCTCGAGTTAAAAACTCCTTGTTCTTTTTTTCCTTTTGTTTTGTCCTTCTTGCTAAATTTCAATGGCTTGGATTTTTATGTTTTTAGTCTTCAGTAACTGTGTCATCACAAATACTGTCTCAAAAGAAAATTATTCGACCTTGTGAATAGTGAGCACAAATTCAGTCTATGCCATAATGGAGAACTCTGAGATATATTAAAAAACGTGCTTTGCTTTTAAGAAGTTTTTAACAAAATGAGATTCTGATTCCCACAGGCAGTCTGATGTTTGCTAGGCTGAAGGACAATCTAGGTGGCTGATGAATTAGTGGTGTCTTCTTTTTCTCATAGTACATTTGAATTGCTTTTCCGGAGTATGCGTAGTGCTGCTCACTTTGGAAGGGAGTCAGGCCCAAATGTCTAGGCATCCGCTATGACCTTTCTTTATCATTGGGTATGAATGAACTAAAAAAAGATTTTTAAATGGCTTTGGGGCACAAGGTCTTATTTTCCACTCTTGATTCATTTGTCTTACTGATTTGTAAGAGCACCAGGATGTTTGCATGTTGAAAATAATGGTTTTCATCATTTTTTGCAACAACTCAAGTCTCAGTTAATTTTTATACCAAACAGTATTGGTAAGTCTACAATAATAAAAAGTGATTCATTTATAATTTTAAAGAGGTGTGCTAGATTAGAGGTTTTCCTCAGTTTTACATGAATCAAAGCAACTGAGGTTTTTTTTTTTAATTTGAATTTAAGCCTTGAATCACTGAGATTATGTAATACTTGAATGTAGTTTCAGGTATTAAGGTAGGAAACCAGTTGTTTTCACTCTGACAGAAAACCTTTAATGGATAAGAAAAAAAATGGCCAAGAGTTTTTGTCAATGGAAAATTTAGTAGAAATGCAAAACTCAGATGTTGCTTTCAGATTTTCAAGGAGTTTGGTCTCCACAACTTTAGTTCCTCACATGACTTCCAGTTCTTGAGTTTGGGTTGCATAGTGATGATCTAAAATGGTTATGTAGAGCTCTGTCACTTATTAGCCATAAGACCTTGAGCAAAATACCTTAATTTTCTAAAAATTCATTTCCTAATTTCTATAAAAAGAACAACAATAATTATAACAATATCTGCTACATGCTTATTTTGAGGCTTAAATGAAAAAACTGCATGTGATGTGGTTAGCAGATACCTGGCAAGTTGCACTAGTTAATAAAGATTGGCTTAAAAGGGAAAGAGTAACATTGGTTTCCTGATTAAAGGTTTGGTTTAATATGATATATTCTCATATGTTAACTTGGAGGATGCTGTTGCATTTTACATAGCCATCCTATATACAACTATTTCCTAAACATGACTTTTATGCATGAACTCGTTCTTTTCCTTTGAACTTTAAAAGACTGTTTAACTTATATTGTGCCAAGAGTGTAGGTCTAAGACTGGATCATTCACTCTATCTATAACAAATAGAGGCAGATCTGAACTTTCTCATTTCTTCATTGTTAAATATGAGAAACGTGCATGACGCTTCACAAAACTGTTGCAAAACAAGAGAAAGTGGTATCAAAAATAACAAGAGGATGAACATATCTCCCATTTACTTTAGGATCTAGAATAAGAGTTCAGAATATTGCTAGAAGACCATATGGCCCTATGAAAATACCTTGAGTTTTGATGGAAAAGGAAAATTTGAAAATGGAAGAAGAAAACTGAAAAAGAAAAAATAATAAGCATGTAGATTGCTATACGGTACAGGAAGGAGACTGAATGGTACAATCACTTTATAAGAAACTGCCAAATAGTTCTCTAAAGTTGAAAATACATCCACATATGACTCAGTAATTCCATTTTGGGTATTTACCCTAGAGAAATAAACACATATAGTTATAAAGAATATTTATAATAGCTTTATTAATAATAGCCCCAAACTGGAAATAAAGTTTAAAAACCTAACAGGAGGACAGATAAGCAGATGCAGCATATTCATACCAAAAAACACCATTCAGCATTAAAAAAACAAAGCATTGATATATACAAAACAAAAATATTTTGTTAAAAATACTGGAGAGGGTGTGGTGAGAAGGGAACCCTCATACACTTGTTGGTGGGAAGGTAACTTGGTGCAGTTACAGGGAAAACAGTATGGAGGTTCCTCAAAAAACTAAAAAGAGTGGCCATAGGATCCAGCAGTCCCACTCCAGGGCATATATACACACAAAACTATAATACAAAAAGAGACATTCACTTCTATGTTCATAGCAGCACTATTTACAATAGTCAAGATGTCCATGGACAGATGAATGGGTAAAAAACAGTGTGGTACATACATATAATGGCATCTACTCAGCCATTAAAAAAGACTGAAATAATGCCACTGAAGCACTATGGATGGATCTAGAAATTATCTAACCAAGTGAATAAGTCAGAAAGAGGACAAATACCAATATGGTATCACTTATATATAGAATCTAAAGTATGACACCAATGAACCTATCTACAAAACAGAAACCGACTCAGAGGCACAGAAAGTAGACTTGTAGTTGCCGCGGGAGAGGAATGGGCTGGGAGTTTGAGAGTTAGCAGATGCAAACTATTACATTTAGAATGGATAAACAGCAAGGTCCTACTGCATAGCATAGGGAACTATATTCAATGTCCTGTGATAAACCATACTGGAAAAGAATATGAAAAGAGAATGTATTACTTTCCCAAACAGCAGAAATTAACACAATACTATTAATCAACTCTACTTCAATAAAATAAAACATTTTAATTTAAAAATCATTTTGTTACGTGCACAAAGCCAAGCACAAAAGAGCACACGCTCTATGGTTCCACATGTATGAAATCCAGGGCCCACAGATTGTCCTGGTTAGCAACAACAGAGCTAACCTACATTGACAGAAATCAGAAAACGGTTGCCAAGCAAAAGCAGGTAGAAGTTCATATCTCCCATGTGCACTTTATTCTGTCTAAAGTGGCTGATATATTTTTCTAACTAGTTTTCTTGTTAAGAGGTGTTGCCCTTCCTTTCTGACTGACTTCACTCTGTAGGACGGTCTCTAGGTCCAACCACATCTTTACACATGACCCAGTTTCGTTCCTTTTTTGTGGCTGGGTGGTGGTCTTTTGTATATATGTACCACATCTTCTTTGCCCATTCTTCTGTTGATGAATGTTTAGAAAATGGCAACCCACTCCAGTACTCTTGCCTGGAAAATCCCATGGACGGAGGAGCCTGGTAGGCTACAGTCCATGGGGTCGCAAAGAGTCGGACACGACTGACTCACACACACACACACACACACACACACACGATCTCTTTTGCTGCTAACTCCAAAAGACACCAGTCTGTCTTTATCACACTGGACTTCTTGTCCAAATACTCTTTCCTTGGATTCAGTGAAACCACACTGGTTTTGTTTCCCTTCTTCCTCTCTTGCCTGCGGCCCCTTCTCTTCCTGGCCATTCAAAAGCTTTCCTCAAGGCTCAGTCCTAGGCTCTCTCCTCTTTTCAACTCTCTTCTTAGGAGTCATCAGCTGCAACCATGACTTTACATGGGCTACATATATGTAGACGACTCATTTTTATAGCCAGCCCAGACTCCTCTTGAATTCCAAACCTGTATTTCCAATTGCTTACTTTCTCCTTTCTCTTTAACCCCTCCTCATACAACCCCCAGACTTTATCACACCCTCAAACATCTGAGCCTGTCCTCTTAAATGCCTCATACACCTCATACAAGCATACAAGCAGCCACTGCTTCTTGCTTAAACACCTGCACTAGCTTTCTAATGGTCTCATATTCCTAGGCCCTTCTAATCCAGTATTCTCATTTCAAAAGAATCACAATGGAAATATTTCACTCCCTCCTGATTACCACCTTCAGTGTGATTTTGAATATGCAAACCTCTTTATGAGGCCACAGAGTTCTGCATGGTGTGACACCTCTCCACCTCCCAGCCCCACCTCCTGCTGCTTTGCTCCCTACAGTGCTCCCTTTTAATCCCCTCTCTGAATCACACCCCCTCCTGCCAAAAGACCTGAGTGCCTTCTGTTCCTCTGCCTGGAATACCCTTTATGTCTCTCTAAGCATGGTTGAGTTCTCATTTTTGTCCTAGTTTAAATGTTGTTGACTTAACGAGGTCTTCTCTGACCATCCTGTCACAATGGGCTTTCTACCTCCATTTTCTTTATCACTAACTGAACATGGTTTATTATTAATGTTTGTCTTTTTGTATGTCTCTTTTCCTTCTCCATAAGATAGTAAGGTCATGCAGTGCCTGTAACTTTTATTTATGATTGCTTTAATAAATCAAGTACAAAGAAGGTGCTCAGTAAATCTGTTGATAAATGAATGAATCAATGGGATGAACACATACATATAGAATTACTTCCTTTTATTCTTCTATTGCCCCCTGGCTCAAGTTTTTATTCTTATATATATTTCAATCTTTACTTATTTCCATACCATGTAGTGATAGCATTTTATTCTGCCTTTAGATTGAACATTTTCTTTGTTCTAGTAATAAAGAAAAAATCAATAGACAAAGTATTTCAAAGCATAATATGCATGTTTCCCAAATCATATGTGTTTTATTAGCTGGATGCTATGATAAAATGAAAGGTTGATGGATGGTTACTGTATGTTAAAGTGGACTAAGTAAGTAGATGAGTAAAACTTGTCAAGGAACTGGATGAGCCTGTGGTAATATGATTCTGGCTAAAGAAAAGTATTTTCTAAAACAAAAAAATCATACAAGTTTATGTAAAGACATGTAAGACAGCTGAACATAAAATTAAACTGCAATCTAAGATTACTTAGTGGGCTATTATTTTTGATCTTTGCAATATACATAGGCACTAACAATTATATGTGTCTACCAAGACGTGACAAAAGGAACTCTTGAAATATTAAGTATTTTATTAGCTATAGATGTACTTTTCCTCTAATAAAACATGTTAGCTTACTTGACATTTATACTAATTCATTTAACTTCTATATTCATTCTTGTCAAAGGCTGTATTTCAATTTAATTATGATTAGGGACTTATTTAAAACACTATAAAAAATTCTCATTCCTCATCTAATGATGCCAGTGACAAATGTAAAGCTGTCTATATCAGCACTGCTCATTTATTACACTAATTTTTCCAGAATATTTAAGTTCAGTCTAAATGCTCTTCCTGAAAAAATTATCATAAAGAAGTAGCTATTTAATTCCCAAAGTCCTCATCAGAATTAAAATAGAATTAAGACACGTTTTTAGAGCATAGAACTATGAATTTATTTTAAATCTCATGTTATCTATAATGTAATCATATTTGACCAATTTCTGTGAGAGTTTAGGGAGCAGTCAAAGATGTTTCTTCTCTTAACTTGATTGAACATTTGGGTATTGTGCTGGGTTGAATTGCGCTCCCCATACCACCTCCCCCAAAAGGAGATATCTACCAATAACATGTAAATATGGCCTTATTTGGAATAATGTAATCCAAATGTAATGCAAAGATCCAAATCTTTGCAAATGTAATTAAGGTAAAGCTCTTAAGATGAAGTCACTGTGAATTAAGGTGAATCCAGTGATGAATGTCCTTATAAGAGACAAGCAATGAAAGGTACATAAAGACACAGAAGAAGGCTATTTGAATATGGAGGCAGACATTGAGCTACACTGCCACAAACCAAGGAACACCAGGAGCCCCCTCAAACTGGGAGAAATCAGGGAAGATTCTTCCCTGGACACTGTAGGGATGGTGGCCCTGCCACACTTTGAGACTTCTGCCCCTCAAAACTGTGAGAGAATAAATTTCTGCTGTGTTTTTTTTTTTTTTCCACATATGTGGGATCTTAGTTCCCCAACCAGGGATCAAATCCATGCCCTCTGCAGTGGAAGCACAGAGTCTTAACCACCAAACTACCAGAGAAGTCTGAATTTCTGATGTTTTTAAACCACCACATTTGTGGTAATCTGTTTTAGCAGCCCTAGAAAACTAGTAGAAGTATAATTTGATACTAATCGCAAGGTTTGAATTCCTTTAAATATTAGTCTGTGTCTATTCTGTGTTTGTAGATAAGGTCTTTTCTCTGAAGTATATTAGAGTGACTCTATCTGTCATTAAAAACAGAAAAAACCCTATATACCTAATAATCCAGCTCATAAGGTTACTGTTTATTTTATCTACCACAGATGTGGCTGGTGGTTATTCATCATCCATGCTTGATGCAATCAGAAGAGCAGTGATGGTTTCCAATATCCTTTTAATTAATAAGATAAATGCAAAAAGCCTCACCCTTAAAGAAGTCTTCAGACTAGCTACTCTTGGAGGCAGCCAAGGTAATGATGAGCATTTTCTTTCTTTCTCACATGATATACAACCATGCCAATCTATGTCCTTGGCTGAAGTATGAAGGCTCATGATGCTGACATCAGCAGGCATCCCCATATTCATGATTTGCATCTCACATAATATACCCAAAGCTTAACAAGTGAAGTACACGTTCAAGCATGTGGTGAATCATTATTTGAATGATTTGAATCATTAATTTAGCAAGTTCCTTGTTGGCAGAAGAGACGTTCAGTATGTAGTTATCATATTGTTGTAATGGATACTTGCATTGGTCACATGCATATGAATTCTTTAATCAGTTTTTTCCCATCAAGTCAAGTAAAGTGCTCTCTATTAACCTGAGTAGTAATAATAATAATAGCCAAGACTTACTGGTTTCTGACCATGTGGTAGGCACTATGCAACATGCTTTATGGATGCTGTTATTTAATCCTCAGAACTACTGTTATTTATTCTATTTTACCAACCAGGTACCTGAGTGAGGCTTACACACCTGTCAAGCTGTGGTATATTATTTGAATCTAGGAAATCTGATACCAGAGTGCAGGTCATTGCTTTCCACTGCAATATCTCCCTGTATAAATCTTTTTTTCCTTCCTGTATAAATCTTAGCCTAGACTATGTATTTTGTTTATATACTTAAGTACACTAATTACAAGCCTCCTTCAAAAGAGAAAGTTGTAAAAATATAGCTGGTTGATATGCAAATATTGTTCATCAGCTTTTCCCAGTTCTCACATGTAATTGTATTTTTACTGAAGAGATAGAACTTGGTAACTGTATTGCTTTCACTTTAGTATTGTAATATAATCTGGATGGATGATAAGGAGCATAGCATGAAACCCTAGGTAGCTAGTGAGAAAGAAGAACACAGATCGTGAGACAGGTGTATATTTTTTAATATACCTTGATATTTATGATAAATACCCTAGATGTTAGAAATGAAGTATGATGGAGGCCAGGGTATCCTGGGAAGAGAAACTTCCTGGCTCTTTTCTGAATGTTCTGCTATGATGAATGCCATAAAGAACCTTTCAAGAAAAAGGTCATATGCTTTGCATTTTCCCATGCCTTATGACCTCATTTTCTAAAGTTCTAAGTTTCAAAAGTTCTGTACTTTTAACAAGTGTCACACTCCCCACTTTCACATCTGAGTTCATATAGTTGTCCTACCACCTTAACTTCATGGTGTAAATGACTTATATTTAAATAATGCTTTTTTATTCTAGGCCGTCTGTGAGTTGTTTCATCAGGATCCTGTTATCTGACCAGGCCAGCATGGGGTGCTTACCAAATCATTTCTACCTTGCTGTACAGCTTTCAGATCTATTTTCTGGGCCTCTGAGGTTACTGTTACAGAGTTTCGTTTCCTTAGCTTGTGTCTCCACAAGAGTCTGAGTGAATGAGATGAATGCTTCCCTGTTAAAAGCTGGACTCTTCCTAGCTTTACATTCACTCTCAAGATTAAGATATACATAAATCGCTTTCACAGAGCCAACATCTGCTCCAGAGACAGTAAAACTGCATTTCTTAAAGTGCATTTGAGCTGCTTACCAGCACAGTTAGGCCTCTCTGCAATAATATGAATTTAGATCAATTTACAATTCACTGAAAGTAGTTGTGTCTTTTTTTGGTTAGTTCATACCTGAACTCTCCAAATTCTAACAAATAATCCAGTTAGTTTATATATACATCCAACTCTTTGCAACCCCATGGACTGTAGCCCATCAGGCTCTTCTGTCCATGGAATTCTCTAGGCAAGAATACTAGAATGGGTTGCCATTCCCTCTCCAGGGGATCTTCTTGACCCAGGGATCAAACCCGAGTCTCCTGCATTGCAGGCAGATTCTTTACCATCTGAGCTACCAGGGAAGCCCTTACATAGTGGGGCTAAACGACACACACAGACACACAGACACAGACACACAGACACAGACACACACACACACACACACACACACACACACACACACACACACACACACACACACACACACACACACACACACACACACACACACACACACACACACACACACACACACACACACACACACACACCACCCCCCTTGTCAAATCCTGGCAAATGAACCTGGTTATCTGGCCCATTAAACACACAATAATTTTATGTTTAATACAGTCATCAAAAACTCACGTTTGTCATGCTATTTGTGAAGTGAAAAATGACAAGTGTTAAATGAAGAATGTCAAGTGTAATCAGTGAAGGGGGAAAAGATGTCTAGTGGTTTTCTATTTCATTCAGTTCTTCTCCCCACAATCAGAAGTCACCCAGCTGCGTTTTAACTTTTCTAATTATGTTTGCACCTCTGTCTTCCTATAAGAATTCTTTGGCTAAAATGTCTCTTTCTTTTCTGAGAATAAATGAGTTACCCTTTAAATAACCATTTAAGTACAAGCAGGATTTCTAAATGTGTGCTTAGAGCATTGCCAGAAGACTTTCGGATATCCATACAGAGAAATATAATGCGGCAGTTATTGTCTAATATTTTCACACAGGATTATATTCTGACAGTGACAGAATACAAAAAATACATGTAAAAATTCAACTACAAAATGCTGCACTCCAGTTGACCTTTCTTTCATGCATGCTTCCATTTGGAACACTCTATCCACATTATTGGCTTTAAGGAGCTTAAATTCAATACCCTTACTGATCAGGAAAACCAGCTACCCTCATCTTTTGAAAGTAAACCATAAAAATGAGAGATGTTCTTCCTTGACATCACTATTCATGGAACAAGAATTCTAGCTGTGAGATGGATCAGGTCAATAGACATTATTGACCTATGCCCTGTGTAAAGAACCATTCTTCTCTGGCAACCAGGAAATCTTTAAGGTTACAGAGAAATTAGTCTGCTTTCTAAAGCACTGGGACTCTTGAGTTATGAGGATCCATTTACTTTCAGAAGTGAATATTTTTCTATTCAGATCATTTAAGGAACTTAGGATGGATATGCCTGCACTGACAAACATGCAAAAAAAAAAGATAATTAGTTTTTACTTATTTGAAATTCATTTCACTGACACAAAAGTAGATCTTGTCAGCTATTTTGTAGAACAAAAGAATAAAAACGGGGAGGAAAGGAGTTGGAATGTTGGAAGGAGAATAGGAGAGGAAAAGAAAGATCAATCGTCATGTTTCTTAGAGGGATGAATGGAAATCATAGACCAGCTGGACTGTGAGGGGTTCTGGTAAAGCCAAAACAGACATACCATCAGAATTATTAATATGATCAGGGTGTTGAAGAGACCTCTTTGTTCTCAGATGTTGCTTTCCCTGTCCTTTCTCTGCTTTCTGTAAGTCGAAGTCTTGCGGTTTACTGGAATGCTTCATTATTAAGATACTGATTTTTTTTCCCTAGTGATATGTTGGCAGATTCTGTCCTTGTATTTTGGGATATTTACATGGTCAAAAGCTTGGAGATACTGACTGACTGTTAATTTATTACACCCTGTAGCCCTGGGGCTGGATAGAGAGATTGGAAACTTTGAAGTGGGTAAGGAATTTGATGCCCTCCTGATCAACCCCAAAGCATCTGACTCTCCCATTGACCTGTTTTATGGGGATTTTGTTGGTGAGATTTCTGAGGTACGTAAAAGGAAGTTGATCAAAAAGCATTTATTTCATGAACTAGTCATAACAACTTCCCTATAGGGAAAAAAAAAAAAAGACACTGAAACAGTTTAATGGAATGGAGGAGACTCCTATAAGGGAAGCTAGATCCTTTTAAGTTATTATAATTTCATGACAATAATGGTATAAATAAACACTTCTATTTTGAATATATTTGTATATTTGAAGGTACTTGACTCTAAGAAAACATAATATAGTTACCACTTATTGAACACACTTTCTATCTGCTAAATGGCATGGGATTATGCACTTTCATACATCATTTTTTGTTAACAGAACTATTATGAGAGGCACATGCTATTAATATTACTGTGTGGTTTATGGGGCAGTGAGACTTAAGGAAGGTTAAATGATTTCCTAAGAACTCATGGCTATTAATTAATAGACAGAGTTTGGATTCCATTCCAGGACTTTCTGACTTTTGGGGTCTGGGTTTTTGATCACAGTGCTACATTGATTCTCTTAATTATAAGAAAGTGAGTTTCATTACTTTGTCCCTCTTATCACATTTTTGTATACATAAAATAAACTGGTTTTTCTTACTTTAATAACAATTCTTTATGAGATGGTTTTTCTTAAAATTTAACTATTGCCATTTAAAAACTGATCCACTTATGAGAGTAAGTGTGATATTAAATGTAACATACTGAGGTTTTTAGAAGAAAAGTGCTGGATTATTTGAAGTTAATAGCATTAGTTATTTTTATATTACTTAATCTTTTACTTTTTATTGATTGAGTGAATTTCCTGGAATATTAGAGTGAGTTTCTGGGAATAGGGTTCAGTCCCATTCATCCAGGCATTTTTTTTTGTCTTATACACCTCTTAAAATATTTAAATTATTATATTAAATTATTTAATTTATGTTAACACTTTCCCTCTGAAGATTTCAAGGTTATATATTAAGAACTTTCAGGCATTGGAAACATTTGTTAATAATCAGTACTTTTATTTTTTTAGGCAAAAGACCATTTCTTTTTCATTAATAAAAGTAGATTTTGGGGTGTTCATTGGATGCCAGTTTAAGTGAGTCAGTGACTGTTAGCCATAGAAGCTAGTTCCAGTGATAAGAGTTATGTACTTTTGGTCATAGTTTAGCATTTTGACTTGGGATACTAGATTGTTGGTGACAAATAATTTCTTCCCCTTTACCCAGCTCTGTTATTGGAATAGACAGACACCAGGGTGTCCATTTCTGGGACTGTGTTCCAGCCAGGCTAAAGTACACAACAGAAGGAATTACAGTACCTGTTAAATGGATGGATTATGTATCTTACCTCAAGACCTTTTTAGGGGTTAAATTAAAAATATGTTCACTGTAACTGCTTGATGTGGAATGCAAGACTAAAGAAATTTACATGTGGAACTGCAAACAGACAGTGATAATCAAGATAGCATCTTTTATGTAAATATATAAATAAGTCTGGGCATTAAAATGTACAACATTTTTCTCCTCTGTGGGCTACATATATATATATTTACAAAAGAAAAAAAGTCTGTGTTTAGAAAAAAATAAAAATATATTTTTGCCATCAAGAAATAAGTTTATGTTTCTGGGTTTTGCCAACCACTATTCATTGTCAATTTGCTTTTCTAAGTGCAGAAAATACTCTTTTTTATTATTATCTTTATTTTTCATTTTAGGCTGTTATCCAGAAGTTCCTATATCTAGGTAGGTATATATGTCTCTATGCTAAATAAAATCTTTTGCTGTCTCTTGGTATGCTCTCTGCATATATTGTACCATGTGTTAAGCATTATGTGTGATCATTTGCTTAGACTTATTATTGTTTTTAGCATTCCTTAGCACTGAGCCCATTTGTGGTACAGTATTTAAAGGCATTATTTGAAATGAACATGCTCTTTGAGAACACAGTATTAAACCCTAAACTTGAGGAACAGCAGGTAAGACGAGATCACCCTATACTTCCTCCCACACTTGTTCTGACCCTTCAGCCTGCCCCACCACGCTGTGTTTGTGAGAAGTATGTGGTGGAGTCTCTCCATGCGTGCTTTCTTAACATGTTGTTTAGTTGCTAAGTCGTGTCCAACTTTTTTGTGACCTCATGGGATGTAGGCCACCAGGCTCCTCTGTGCATGGGATTTCCCAGACAAGAATATTGGAGTGGGTTGCATTTCCTTCTCCAGGGGATCTTCCCGACCCAGGGATCAAACCCATTGCATTGGCAGGTGGATTCTTTGCCACTGAGCCACCAGGGAAGCCAGTTTTGTTTTTTAAACATACTCACATTCAATTCTATTCACTGAGAGAGAGAGAGAGAGAGAGAGAGAGAAGTAAATAGTATAGAAGATTCTATTCTTCCTCTCACTCCATTGAGTGACCTCTGAGTTCTGAGTGAATTTGGAGTAGGAGAGACACATGTGGTATTTCTTGTGAAGCTCAATTCTTGCAAGCCCTTCATCTCACCATGCTGAGTATTATTCTGGGGCGTAAAGTATTTCTTTTACAACTAGGGCTGGAAATGGAAACCACTCTTTCTAGCTAAAAGGACAGTAATGGAGGGTCGATTCAACTTTACATGAATTCTGCTTTAGGCATGTATTTCAGGCTCTAGTCCTCAGATTAGATGCTGCATTTTCTATTGATCATATCTCCCTGTTCAGGTTATAAACAATGATTCCTTGATGCTTCTTTCAGGAGATGACCGAAATATTGAGGAGGTGTATGTGGGCGGAAAGCAGGTGGTTCCCTTCTCGAGCTCCGTGTAAGACCTCAGCGTCTACAAGTTTTCCTGGGGTAACACAGTTCTGTATCTTCTTGTGCCCAGGTGGAGTTAGGAAGTCAAAAAACAGTCCCTTGTTCTTGGGGTGACTATCTCCTTCTGTGTCTAGTTACAGTATTCACTTGACAAACCGTTTGAAGGAAGTTGTGCTAATTCTCAGCTCTGGTTAGGAGGATTAAAAATTCCTCCTTTTAGAACTGTTTAAGGTTTACTTTAAAGCTCAAACATAAGGGAATGTTATTACTGGTGGTGTTCTTATTATGGGATTTAAATAAAATCTATTTCACATTTGGAAACGTGGAGAAAAAAGGATATTCCTATAAGGTTAGACAGTTTCAGCTAGTAGATGTGAAAATTGAAAAACAGAAAATGAACCAATGAGTATATTTTTACAAGGGAGAAAAAGTTAAGACTATGAAAAACATTGGAAAATCACTTCGGATTGTGTTTGAAAATTATATACTGAGCATACTAATTTAAAAAGTGAATCTGTTGAATTTTAAAATGTGTTTCTAGATTGACCTTGTGTTCTGGAAATTTGCACTTAATGGCATTTGCATTTCAGAGACGTGTTATTGTTGTGCTTTGCCTTCTTACAGGATGAAATGTCAGAAATCGAATGCCACATGCTTTCTTAATATAGTTCTGTGCTTCTAAGTGTTTGACAGAAGTTGGGTATTAAAGATTTAACGTCTCGGGAATATTATTCACGTAACTACATAGCATAAATAGCTGTATTTTTGTGTACTTTGAAATACCTTAGAGTATAACTGTGTGATGCTATTATTGCTTCAGTTTTATCAGAAGAGAAACAAGTTCCATACTGCACTGTTGTGTAGATTGGTGTCTTCATAAATTGGGGCAAGTTCTGGGCATCCAGGAGGTGTCAATACTAAAAGGAAGGGTTTCATTGTGATGACCTGTCCTCCCAAAGAACTATTCCATAGTTGTTGGGAATTTCATACTCATGTCAATCTGTTAGAACTTTAAAATGAAGGACAAATCCTATTAGATAAATATTATTAAAAATCTTTAAACCCTGCATATTGAAATTACTCTATTTTCAATGTTATCTTGCCTTTTTAATTCCTAATAATTTTCAAGACATTAGAATTCTAGGATGATGAAAAATATTTAGATGGCCCACTAATGTTTATATTAATAGGACTTAATCGGTACTAGACATCTAGAAACAGTAAACAAATAGTGTTTTTATGTTTCCTAATATAGTGTGCTTTCCTATAACCTAGAATTAGAAACAAATTATGACGTTATGATAAAATCCCTAAGAAAAATTGATATGTTATTTAAATGCTATATTTTTCTCATTTAACTCCAAACCCTATAAACCAACAAGAAAAAGGAGATTTTCTTAATATATGATAACACTCATACCTAGGGCTTAGAGCTGACTCTTTATTATCATCTCATAGTAGAGAACTATATGTAATATCGCTAACTCTGTATCTACAGAATGAAGAAGAAAATTTCTTCCCTGGTACTGTAAATTTTATTCTTATACAGTTATGCTAATTCAGTAGTCATTTGCTCAGTCTCCGGCCCCTCACCCCTTCGAAACCCTTCCAGACTTGTGTATACACTACACGTAAAGACAGAACAAATTTTGGTTTTGTAGAGTTTGTGTTGTGAGGTATTAACTCAGTAAAAACCCAGTTTCCAGTACCAGTCTCTGGATTTCCAGAATTCCTAGCTACAGAGCCATGTCAAAGATGCCCCACCAAATTTCGTTCCATTTCTCCCTAGTCCTGGCAGGCGTTTTCTGCTCTATCTCCCCAGTCCCTGCCAAGGGACTTGGTTACCCTAGCGTCTAACCCACATGAGTGGGCAGAGGGATTTGGATGACGTGCAAGATCTGCTAATCGGCAGAAGCTGTTCTTAGCCTTGGAAAGATCCTACACTTTTACCTTCCCTAAGGATGTACATTTTCATGCTGAACATCGGTTTTCATTTAGATTTAGGACTCATGTGCAGTAAATGTAAGTGTAGCATCAGAAGCAGGAAGAATGGCCACATACAACCAGCCTGTCAAATGTTAAATTTAGCCCTGATAATGTATTAGAGCCTGAATTTCTTTTCTAGTAAAAATAGAATGTGATAAAATTTGAGCTCCCTGCATCACTTATGTGTTTTACTTCCCAAAGTACAGTATTGCTGAATGTTGCATATGCTTTTTGTGGTAATGCAGGCATTAGACATACACACGCCCAGATGTTCTGCACTTTGAAATGTTGCTTTTGCTCAGTGTGGGTTGACTTTTGAATTGCAGAGAGGCAGTATTCCAAGTCAATTCTGTTTGTCACTTTATTTTGAATATTTTGCTCTCAGACAGCAAAGGAAGGATTAAAACATCTTCACAGCCCCCTCACCCTACTCTGCACTATTTGCCTCAGGTTTCATGACATTTTTAATAGCATATACTTTAACAGCTAAAAATGTATTCGATAGTAGAGACTACCATACATTTAAAAATATTTTTGCAACCAGAACACAAAAGCAGGCTAATTAGCCAACGTAAATTTAATTTTCAAGAGAGAGTAAAATGTAGGATTAGAACAGGAGCGGTTGTCCTTGTAATTGTAAACTGAGACCAAGGAAACTCTGTCTCCTTATTTATTAGCCCAGCTTCTTCTGATTTAATTGCTGAAGGTTTTAGAATCCAAGAGAATATCTTGGAATAAGCTTCCTTCATGCTAGAAGGAGGTCTTTCTAAATTAATATTATGTTCATTGAACCCCACTGGATCTCTTTATTTCTGTGAGGATTCTGCCTGGTCGGAAGTTGAGGGGAAACACCCCTGTTATACTTAGTTGATCTGAGGTGTGACCTTGAATATCCCTGTCTGCAGCTCCACTGAGATCTCAGCAGGGGAACAATGGCTGTGAGATCCACCAAAGAATTTTAAATCTTTACTCCTTTCCATATTCCTCCAGTTTTTCATTTTTTCACCTCAGAACCAGACATATGGAAAGCTTTAAAAGCCAGCTAGAAGGCCCGTTGTATCACTTCTACCCTGTGCTTGCTATTCACGGAAGATATTCAGAGCTGGATGCTCCTGTAGCCTACTGGACAGAGGTGATGATGCAAGCAATCATATATTTGTTTGTTTGTTTTAAAAAAGTGTTCTGAGATATTAAAAAGTAGACTAAAAAATGTGTCATGGGCAGTGTCTTGAAGTAATTTTCAAGTTGGTGGACTGTAAATTTTTAAGGTTTTTTTCTTTGCAGTTTCAGATCTATTTAGCCACTGTAGGTATGACTTTGGACCCTGACACTTTAATGTCTCTCAAGTATGGGAAGAAGTGCAGAGATGAACTGACACATGTTAGAAACCCTGGGGTTGGTCTCCTGCATGTTTTCACTCTCAGCCCCTCCTTCCTTCCCCTCCTATAGTCCTGAGTGTGAGAGATCAAGAGGTGAGGGGTTAATTTGTAAATCTGGTCCAAACTGAGTGAAATGCAAAAGTTGAACAGGCCAATCATGACACTAAATGTAAATCCCAAGATGGTTTCCACAGTCCACAGGATTCAAGTGACTTGAACCACAGGTGATATATGGTATTGATTTACCTGTTCACTTCATACTCAAAAGTCTGTCAGAAAGCATTTTCTTAAAATTGAAAACTACCTTACATTGTATTAAACTTCTGATCACTGCTGTTAAGAATATATACATGTATGTATTCATGGGAACATTTTCCCTCAATATTTATATGATTTATTTATTGTTCCTGTGCTAAGTGATTGCTCTCTGCTGCAAACAGAAATAAATGAGGTTTTGTGTTTATATGTTTCTGTTGTTGTGAGTTCTGTCAGTCTGATAGAAGTGAGATTCATTTTACAATGTTTTTCTCCTTTTAACATGAATTTTAAGAGATTGAAGGGGGTCAACTGTATGGTGATGGATGGAAACTAAAATTTTGTGGTGAGCCTGCCATATACAGAGGTACACATAAAACATATAATACTATAAACCAATACTATCTCAATAAAAAAAAGAAATATCATAAACTGTAGGAAAAATAGAATACTTAGCTGTGGGCCAACATGTATCTTCTATCCTATAATCGTCACCATACATAGGTTTTTAAAAATTAAGCTGAGCTATAATGTTCATCCCTTTAGATTCATATTAGTATTGCCTTTGATTTAAGCATAGTTGATATTTCACATGATTGGAATCTACCACAAAAAATACTCTACATCCAAAGACACAATGATGAAACCACACGAGACAATAGGAGGCATGTACTTTGCAATGTAATTAAATCCCATACTACCTGGGTGCGTGACCCACAAACTAGAGACTAATTACATCACAGAAATTCTCCACAGAGCTGAGAGCTCTGAGTTCCACATCAGGCTCCCCAGTCTAGGGGTCTGGCATTGGATGGAGGAGCCCTCAGCAGATCTGGCTTTGAAGGCCAGTGGGGCTTGACTGTAGGCGCTCCACAGGACAGGGGTGGGGATGGTGGGAAACAGAGGCTGCACTTCTGGAGGGTGCACGCAAAGTCTCGTGCACACCCGCACGCAGAGCAAAAGCAGCTGACTTCCTAGGAGCCCGGGCCAGACTTATCTGCTGGTCTTGGAGGCCCTCTTGTGCAGTTGGGAGGAGGTTGACTGTGGGTCTGTCTGGGGTCATAAAACCTGGTGGCAGAGATATTGATGAATGTACACCTACTTGAACTCTTCCAGGAGGCAGACATATTGCTTGCATCATTAGCACCAAAACCTGCCCTCACCCAAAGGCCTGTAGGCTGCAGGGCTGGGGCACCTCAGGCCAAAGAATCATCAGGGCAGGAACATAGACCCATCAGCAGACAGGCTGCCTAAAGGCTTCTTGAGTCCACAGTCACCTCTAGACATGCCCCTTGACATGGCCCTGCCCACCAAAGGGCCAGATTGAGCTCCACCCACCAGGGGTGGGCATCAGCCCCTCCCACCAGGAAGCCTGCACAAGCCTCTAGACC